GGAGGCTCAAGGTGTTGGGAGAGAGTTTAAATACATCCCACTGAGACTCGAGGGCTTCTGTAGGAATAGAGACCCACCAGATGGTGCCCCTTGAAGAGGGAGGAGGCCCCTGACTCCAGAAACGGTGGTTGGTCAGGCTTGTCCTGTTCTTTCAGCTGTGTGGCCCAACGGCCTCGTGAGCATGCCGGGGGTTACACAACCTCCTTGGGTGGGGGGAGTGTACAGAGAGGGGCCCGTGTGGGCCAGGTTCCTCTACCACAGCCATTGCTCACTGTGGTACCGGGGCAGGAGGGGCCAAGATGGGCCATATTCACCTCCAAACAGGGAAATGAGAAAGGTGGCCAGCCCACATTTCTACCAGCAACATAAGGAAAAGTCCCTTCTCTGTTCTAGTTTTTAAAAATCACATACATCTAGGGGCACCTGGGTGGTTCAGCGTCCAACTCTTGATTTCGGCTCAGGTCATGATCTCGGGGGTTGTGAGATTGAGCCCCGCGTCGGGCTCTGCCCTGGGCATGGAGCCTGCTTGAGGACTCTCTCCCTCTCTCTCTGCCCCTCTGCCTCCCACCATCAGACTGTCACCCCTTTCGCGGTCGTCCGAGGAGGAGGAGGCTCTTGTGCTGGTGACTGGGGTGGGAGGAGGGGAGAGAAGCAGACCAAAGCCAATCTGCCTGCGGGGCCACTGGCCGGGACTATGGGACCTCTCTGCGTCTGGGCCCCGCCTTCCGCAGTCAGGTGATCGCAGTGCCGGGAAGGCTGCCACGATGAGCCAGGACCTCGGACATGGAGCAGCAGACAACCGCCAGCTCGCTTGGCGCAAACTCTAGAAAGACGACTTGGGGTCAAAAGAAGACCCCATCTGAGTTTCTTACCGATTCCCCAAGGAGGACGGGAAGTGGAAAATGTGGCTAATAGGACATCGCATTCCCTGTGGGACGGGAATGTCGGAGACAGCCTGAGGGCCTGAGGCTTCTCTGGGTCCGCTGGTCCCTGGGTCAGGCCTGATTGGGGGACCAACAGCCTCTGGGATAGGAGAAGCAGAGCCCAGGAGCTCTATTGAGAGGTGGGGAGCCAGGAGTCGCTGGCTCCCTTTGGTGGAGACCACACTCAGTGGCTTAAAATCATCCAGCAGCCTGGCAGTTTTAAGTCACTTCCCGCTTATTGTCTGGACCCACGGGGCAACATCAGGGAGCTCAGGCTGTGGAAAATTAGCTACAAGCTTAATTGGAAGTGATTTGAAGCTGTATCATTCCATATCTTTCTCTCCACCCCCCCCCCAACCTTGTCCCTATAGTGGGACGTCTGAATGGTTCTTGGAATGTTTTTTCCCAGGCAAAGAAAACCAAGCGATCTCCTGATCGAACTTGCCTGTAGAATAGCCAAGCACTCACCTGGGAAGGTGGGCAAAGGGTTTTCACCTCAATAAAGCAGGAAAGATATAGTCAGGCTCGGTTTGTGACAAAGCAGCTTGCCAGACTTCTCCTATCCCCCTTCCTCCCCCAAATACCCAAAGGATTAAATGACTCTGATCTTGGTGGGAGGGAGACAGGGGCAGTCCATTCCAGGCTCCTGCCCAGCCACGTGCCAAAGCCCAGAGCTGGTTGCACAACCCAAGCCTAAAACTGTTCACATCCGTAAAAAGCTGGGAGGCTTCACCGACAGCACTCTCTACTGGGGTCTGTTCATTATCTGGGGTCCTCTCAGGAGGAGGTCAGGGGCTTCTGAAGTGACTCAGAAGGAACACAGCTGCTCTTCTGCTCTGCAAAGTCCGTGAACATGCTTGCTCAAGCTTCTGAGAACTGTTTTTAGTAAATTTTTTTCCGGTTAAAAAAGAATATATGCTCATTCCAGCATTGCTAGTAATAGCCCAAACCTGGAAACAACCCACGTGTCCAAAAGCAGTAGAATGGATACATATATTAGCCATATGACACAATGCTATACAGTGATCAAACTGAATGAATACTGTACAGTGATCAAAATGAGTACTAGATACAGTGATCAAAATAAATGAATATAGTGATCAAAATGAATGAGCTCTGTGTGAGAATGTTGAGCAAAAAAATAGAAGACACAAAAGGAAGATAGAGTGTGAATTCCATTGATGTAAAGCTCAAGACAGGCGAACTATACCATTTTGTTTAGGGATGCATACATGAATGGTTTCGTAACAAGCAAGGAAGTGACTGAAGGGGAAGAAAGTTTTGGGGGAGGTTTCTGGTGTGCTGGAAATATTATATTTCTTGCTCTGGGTAGGTTTTTGTTCTTTGATGTTAGATTGTACTTTGTATTTTAGGTAATTTTCAGTATGCATATTTCAGAATACAGTGTTTTTTAAAAGTTAGATCCAAAAAGGTCTATGCCTATGATTATCTTTGCCTTTTATGAATCAAATGCAAAAGCAAATCTAATGTACACTGAAAACTACAAAACATCATTGAAGGAAATTAAGGACGACCTAAAATAAATGGAAAGACATCCCATGTTCATGGATAAGAGGATTTAATATTATTACGATAGCGTTATCCCCACAATTAATATACAGATTCAAAGAAATCCCTATCAAAATCCCAGCTGGCTTCTTATTTTTTCTTTTTAAAGAAATGGTAACACGGACCCTCAAATTGATACAGCATTGCAAGGGGCCCCAAACAGTCAGAATAATATTGAAAAACAAAAACAAATTGGAGACCTCACACTTCCCCATTTCAAAACTTACTACAAAGCTACGGTAACCAAACACTGTTGTACTGGGAAGGAAGGAAATACAGGTGTAAATCTTCATGAGCTGGGACTAGGCAGTGGGTACTTGGATAGGACACCGGAAGCACAGCAACCAAAGGGGGAAAAATAGGTCCATTGGACATGAGCAAAATAAAAACTTTTGTACTCATAAAGGAAATAAAAAATCATATCTGATTTTTTGATATAAATATTGATATTGATATACATATCAGTAACACATATGTATATATTATATACGTAAATAAAAATATTGATATTTTTATGATATAAAAAATGATCAAGAAAGTGAAAAGACAACACAGAGAAGGGGAGAACATTTTTGTAAGTCATATATCTGATGAAAGTCTGGTATCCAGAAATATAAAGAACTCCTACCCCTCAGAACCAAAAACAAACAAGAGGCAAGGGAATGGAATAGGCAGACACTTCTCCAGCAAGGATATGCAAAGGATCGACCAACACATGGAAAGATGTTCCATATCACGTTGAACTAGAGAAATGCAAATCAAAGCCACAACGAGACACCACTTCACACCACTAGGATGCCTAGAATCAAAAAGACAGATAAGACGGCGCCTGGGTGACTCAGTTGGTTGAGCGACTAGTCGCCTTCCGCTCAGGTCATGATCCTGGAGTCCCGCATCGGGCTCCCTGCTCCCTGCTTCTCCCTCTGACCCTCCCCCCTCTCATGTGCTCTCTCTCTCTCTCTCATTCTCGCTCTCTCAAATAAATAAATAAAATCTTAAAAAAAAGACATAAAAAGTGTTAGGAAAATGGAGAGAAATGGGAACTCTCCTGCATTGCTGTAGGAATATAAAAAGTTGCAGCCAGTTTGAAAAACTCAAAAATTAAACACAGAGTTACCATATGACCAGCAATTCTATTCCTAGGTACATACCCAAAAGAATTGAAAACATGTGTCCACACAAAAACTTGTACACAGATGTTTATAACAGCATTATTCATAACAACCAGAAAGTGGGCTATCAACATAAAAAAACAACAAATGTGGTATATCCATACAATGGAATCTTGCTCAGCCATAAAAAGTAAATGAAGTATTGATACAAGCCACAATGTGAACCATGAAAACATGCCAAGTGAAAGAAATCAGTCACAAATGAGGACTTACTATCTGATTCCATTTATGCGAATGCCCAGAATGGGCAAATCCACAGACACAGAAGGAGGGCTAGGGATCGCCTGGGGGCTGACGGGAGGGAGTAAATGGGGAGTGGTGACTACTAACAGTTCCTTTTCCAGGTGATGAAACCCTTGGGGAATTAGATAATGACGATTGCACAGACTTCTAACGGTTGCACAGACTTGTGAATACACTATAAACTATGGAATTGTACACTGAAAGGGGCCAATTTTATGGGATGTGAACGGAATCTCAATTAAAAAAAACACGAAATTTTCAAAAAAGTAAAAACCAGTAAATCGGGAATTAATATTTCATTAAAAAAAAAAAAACCTAGTAAGCTTGACGTTACAAAATATCGTGCTCATTGTGAGAAAAAATGAAAACACTCCCTTCCCAAAGTAACCATCACTACCCTGTGAAAAGTCCGGGTACCGCCGGATAGGGAAGGATGATCACACTCCACGGTTGTTTTGTTGCTAGTGGAAAGAATGCCTCCGTCCCTCACCCAACACACACACCGCACACCAGCTGGCTGAACGGAAGGTAACACTAGCCCTAAAAATGCCAATCCTTCCCTCACCAGGACGGGACGTCCTAGCCATCTGGCTAGAGCAGGGGTGGCCCTGGCGCGGCAGGCGGGGAGGAAGCTGCCCAGGCAGGTCGCGGGGACGCGGCAGGGGACGTGGGAGCCACAGGGTGGAGCCTAGAGGGCGTGGGGGCGTGGCTCAGGGTGGAGGCTCGGGGTCCCGGCGCCAGGTCGCGAACCGCGCGCGAGGGCCACGGGGTGGGCCCTGGAGGGCGTGGGGGCCGGGGCCGGGGGCGGGGCGCGGAGGGCTCGGGCCGGGGCGGAGGGCTCTGGGCCGGGGGCGGAGCGCGGGGCGGAGCGCGGGGCGGAGCGCGGAGGGCGGAGGACCCCCGGGCCGGGGTTGGGCCGGGCGCCGGAGGCGGGGGCGGAGTGCGGAGGGCGCGGAGGCCGAGTGCGGAGGGCGCGGGGGCCGCGGGCCGCGGCCGAGGGCGGGGCACGGGGCGGGCAGCTGGCCCGGAGGGACCGGGAGGGGCCGGGACGCGAGCCGTGGGCGCGTCGGTGCCCAGACGGCAGCGGCGGGACAGCCGCACGCGCGTCCCGGCCTCTGTCCCCGCGGCGCCGCGGCCCCGGCCCCCTGCCGGCTCGGCCATGCAGCTGCCCGCGCCGCCCACCGAGCTGGTGCCGTCGGAGCGCGCCGTGGTGCTGCTGTCGTGCGCGCTCTCCGCGCTCGGCTCCGGCCTGCTGGTGGCCACGCACGCCCTGTGGCCCGACCTGCGCAGCCGGGCACGGCGCCTCCTGCTCTTCCTGTCGCTGGCGGACCTGCTCTCGGCTGCCTCCTACTTCTACGGGGTGCTGCAGGACTTCGCGGGCCCCTCGTGGGACTGCGTGCTGCAAGGAGCGCTCTCCACCTTTGCCAACACCAGCTCCTTCTTCTGGACCGTGGCCATCGCCCTCTACCTGTACCTCAGCATCGTCCGCGCGGCGCGCGAGCCTCGGACCGGCCGCCTGCTGTGGGCCTTCCACGTCGTCAGGTGCGTGGCTGCGGCGCCGCTTCCCCTCGAGCCCCCGACCTCCACCTGGGCCCTGCTTGCTGCCCTTGTGGCCCTCGCGTCGTTCTGGCGCCCGCGTCTTGGTCGGACCCCTGGCCGGGGCCCCAGAGGGTCGTGTCTGCTCATGTTCCGAGGCAGTCGGGGGGACCGGCGGGAAGATGCGCGCGGAGAGGTGGACCTGCCCAGAGCATCAGTGCAGAGGGCGCCCCTTTGTGCCTGCCCGAGCCCGAACCTCCCGGAGAGGTGGGGGGCCAGAGCTCGGGCCCTCATAACTTGGAAGCACCGAGAGATGGCGAGGACACCTTATGCCTTTTGCCTCCTGCTTCCCTGCGTTCTGGCCGTTTCTGCTGCCCATGGGGAGAAGCTTCTCCTTCCCAGGCTGCGAGCTCAGTTAGGTGCTGCTCCAGCCTGGAGAGGGGGGCTGCTCCCAGTCGCACCCTGTGCCACAGTAGGTGTGATGCATTCAGCCACTCTCGGGCTAGCTGCCCGTGGCCAAGTGCAGTGTCTCAGCGGTAAGATTTACAGAGTATTGTCTTCATGATTTTGTGCATCTCTAGACCCAGACGATCTTGACTTTCTAGGGTTTGGTATCTCTGAGGGTGAGGTCAGTGGCAGGGTCTGGTCTGGAAGAGGGCCCCCAGCTGCCTGGAGTCTATGAGAGTAGAGTCAACGGAGGGCTTTGCCCAGCCCTGGCATTAGAGCACCTCATCAGGTAACCCTCACCTATGAAGGTTGACTCCTTCCTGGTGTAATTCCAAGATCTGAATGTCCATGGTGTCCTGCACTTCCCTCAAGGCAGGAATCTTCTAGGGCCTCTTTCCCCTTGTCCATCTCCCAGATAAAAGCACCAAATACTGTCCTAATTATAGGACCTCTCTGTTAAATGCTTGAGTGCTTTCCATGGGACTGAGGACAGTCAGCACTTTGGTAGAGACAGGTCACCTGGGTGTCACAACGGTGTGATCACAAGCCTGCAAGAGTCACTTGACCTCTAGGTCTCAGAACTGCTGGAGGAAGGCCAGCTGGTCCCTGGGAAACAAAGTGGCCTGCTTCTCAGCTGTTCATGTCAAAAGTTTTGCAAGGAGCCGGACAGTACCTCAGATGCTGCAGAGATCCACAGGGGCTGCCTTTCTTCCCCTTGTGGCATCCCCCCGGCCCTGGCCTCTGTGTATTTCAGAGACCCAGTCCTTGGCAGTCTGGTTGGGTGTGGGCAGCATGTACACCAGAGTTCACATGTACTTGAGAAGGAGCCTAAGATTGGACCTTTCTTTGCCAAAAATCTCTTCTCTTCCCCCCCCTTAAAAAAAGAATACTGAAAACAATATATATATATTTTTTTTTTAAAGATTTTATTTATTTATTTGACACACAGAGAGATAGAGAACACAAGCAGGGAGAGCAGCAGGCAGAGGGAAAGGGAGAAGCAGGCTCCCTGCTGAGCAGGGAACCCGATGTGGGGCTCGATCCCAGGACCCTGGAATCATGACCTGAGCCTAGCCTAGGCAGATGCTTAACTGACTGAGCCACCCAGGCGTCCCGAAAACAATATATTTTTTAAGTGATGAAGAGAACCTGGTACAGCTCCTATAGAAAAGATGCATTTGCTAATGAACCTGAGTTGGGAGTTCCTTCCATTCAGTCCTAGGGGTGTTTTTTTTGATGCTGAGGAGAGGCCTTCTAAGAAAGCCCATGGGTCCTCCATGCTGGCCATGAAAAAGAAGGGAGTTGTTCATCTTGTCCATCGAATGATCCATCGGCTTCTCAAAAGAAAACTACCAGGGTGCCTGGGTGACTTGGTTAAGCCTCTGACTCTGATCTCAGCTCCGATCTTGATCTCAGGGTTGTGAGTTCAAGCCCAGCATTGGGATCCACACTGGACATGGAGCCTACTCATAAAAAAAACAAAAAACAAAAAACAAAAAAACCTATATCCGAGCTACAAAGGGAGTTTGACAGTTTGTTCTCTGGAGTTCCCTTTCAGAAGTTAGCTCTCAGCATCTTGCTGGTCTAAGAGAATTGGTAGAAAACCTGTCTGACAGGTTCATTTATTGACCTAGATCCTCCCAGGCTGTATTGCTCATGACTTTGCTAAGGGCTCTCCAGTGGCTTTCTTTGGAGTATGCGTTAAAGATGAATAATTGTTAAATAAATAATTGTTAAAGACCTGTTGGCATGAGAAATTTCGTCTTCAGACAGAGGCCGCACAGTCATCCACTTTTTAACCAGTTCAGACTGCTGAAGATCAGTCCTCGTCAGACATTCAGTTTGGGAAAGTATTTTAAAACGTGACAACGTAGAGGTTGCGAATGTCTATTGGAGTTTTTATGAAATGATTTTTTTAAAAGATTTTACTTATTTATTTGACGGAGAGAGACACGGTGAGAGAGGGAACACAAGCAGGGGGAGTGGGAGAGGGAGAAGCAGGCTTCCCGCCGAGCAGGGAGCCTGAGGCGGGGCTCCATCCCAGGACCCTGAGATCATGATCTGAGCCGAAGGCAGACGCTTAACAACTGAGCCACCCAGGCGCCCCTGAAATGATTTTTTAAAAAACCAACAAATATCCTGATAAATGGCCAAAGGAGACATTGAGACAGCAGAGTCAAAATGGTTCATAAATACATTATGGGGGAACGTTTCTTCCGTTAATAGTCAAGGCAATACAAATTATAATGATGAGGTATCATTTTCTCATTAAATTAGAAAAAAGTAGTAAAGCAGAATACTAATGTGATAAATGCTGGTAAAACTGGTACTTTATTTTCCTACATTGTTATTGGCAATGGAAGCTGGAATAATCCACATAGAAAGTATTTGGTTCATACCCCTTGATCCACTAATCCTATTTATAGGGACCTAGTCTAAGGAGATAATCCAAAATACATTCAAAGCTGTAGGTACAAAGGAGTTTGTGTGGGAATTTGGCAGCAACCGGAATGTCCAAAATATAGGGGAACAGAAGATTATAAACTACACCCCACCGGAAACGTTACACAGCCATCAAATACTGGCTGTGAATTCTATAAGCCATGTTTTTAAAATAGTACGATACAATGTTAAATGAAAAAGAAAAAAGCCATCTCTGAACTGAACCACATAAAGCAGGAGGCCAGATAGAATCCTACACGCACACCACTTCCCAGAAAGCACCTGTGCAACCCCCTAGGGCCCCATCATAATACCTGAGCAGGCTTCCTTTACAGAAGGATTTTCTTTGCCCACTGGGGAAGGAGGGCAGCTTAGACTTTATCCTCAAGGAAATGGTATTTTATCACGAGTTGTGCCTGTCTCCTGAGGTCTTGCAAAGTGCTTGTCGGTTCTTTAGCCATTGGACACCAGTAGCCCCGGGGGCTGGGCAGGACTGTCACCCTCCAGTCACGGCTCACGACATTTGCCCAAGCTCACGCAGCCATAATTGGGAGGCTCAGGGTTAGAACTCCAGGGGTCGGTCCTCCATTTATGATCCCATCTTGTCTCTTGGCCTGAGGATACTCCTTAAGGTTGAGATATCATTACTCAATTTATTTTTAACTTTGCAGATTTCTGCCATTATGAACATGGTATCATGTTGCCTTTAGTCTTCTGCATTTATTTTTCTGGAGCCATTTAAGAGTATAGACTGATGACCCCAGAACCCCTAAATCCTTCAGTGTGTATTTCCAAAAGAAAGGGACCGTCTCTTAGGTAACCACCTACACCTTCCAGAAGCAGGGCAGTGGTGTAGCCTGGAACGATGCTGTTACCTGAGGGTGGACTTTACAGGGATATTGTCGGTCTCCTGCCAATGTCCCCAATAGCAAAGGGATACCCTCAGCTTGTGTTTGACTTAGTTGTTGGGTCTCTCTATTGTCCGGCGATCCGCAACAGTTCCTCTTTCTCGGTGTTTCAGGACACTGACTTTTTTGAAAGGCACAGATCTGTGGTTTTGCAGAAGGTCCCTCTGCCGGGCTCTCCGGTGCTTCCCCATGGGTGGTTTCAGGTTCTGCACTGGGGCTGGAATCCCACAGAAGAATCTTCTTATTGCTCCCTCCCTGGGGACTTGGACTTGTTCACCTCCAGTGATAGGAATTCTGATCGCCTGATGAAGGTGTTGCCTGCCAGTTTTACAGGGTAGTTACTGTCCTCCCCTTTGGTAATTAATAAATACCTTGTGGAGATAAAAGTCTTCCTACTCCTCAGACTTTACCCACAAGTTTAGCACACGTCAGATGTCACCGTATTCTGAAAGTGAATTCCGTTTTTTATTGCCTTTGTAAGGTTGTGTGAGAATGAATATTCAGCATCCAAGGGAAGGCCCTGGGTTGAGAAGTCCCTCCCACTCCACTGTCCGTGGCCGTTGAGGCAGCCTGATGCAGACACCCCGTATTTCACAGTCACGGGCATGTGCATGTGGGAGCATTTACAATACTCACCTGAGAAGGTGCCCGGAGCTGCTGTGGGCGCGGTCAGTTCTTCTCTGGTCTAGTAAGCCAAGTTGGTGGGAAGCCATCCCTGTCCCCCTGCTGAAGGTGCGCTGCCTTTCCAAAGCAGCTGTCAGCTCCTGTCAACCCCCCGACTGCAGGGTGGTGGGCTTCTGGACGACACTGGAGCAGGGTCCGTGAACCATCCCTGCACCTGCGTGCCCGGGGAATCCCCGCGCCGGGTGTCATGGGGTGTCCTGTGAGCAGGGGAGGAAGGCTGGGCTGGGGGGAACCTCATTGCCCCCAAGTCGGAAGGAAGGGTCCTGGCCAAGCTAGCCACGTGAGGCAGTCAATAGGGTTTCTTTGGGCCCGAGGTGGGAGTGTGTGTGGGCATGACCGCAGGCCCACCCTCGCTCTGGAGGTTGCTTGGAGGTTCTGGAGGAAGAGTCCGTGGTTCCCAGGTTCACCATCAAAACCCCTGCCGTGGGAAGCGGGAAGTTCTTTTTTTTTTTTTTTTTTAAAAGATTTTATTTATTTGAGGGAGAGAGAACAAGAGATAGAGAGCACGAGAGGGAAGAGGGTCAG